TCTGAAACGGGATAGCTGGCTGCGTGCAAGTGGCCCGGCGGACACTGCCTATCAGAGCAGCCCTGGCTGTGGGGTAACTCAGTGGGATCTGGAGGTTCAGCAGGTGAAATAAGTGTTCCCAAAATGACACACCCGCAGCCGAGTGTGCACCGAGGGTCCTGCCTGACCCGCCTGCCCCCCCACCTGTTCTAGGGCTCTCAGCACCTGGCTAGTTGGCCTCCCCGCAGAACACACCTGCACTCCCTGGTCCCTGAAACAGCCTCTTGTTTCCCATGCCCTGGAGAGACGTTGTAAGACAACCAATCTGGGGAGATGAAGTCAGAGCATGATGTGGCCCCAAAGGGGCAGGAACCTGCTGGGTGGAGGGAAGGGTGAGCCTGGGAAGCACACTGCTCATTCACAGCAGTAATGTTCACTGAGCACTTGCTGGGCGCTGGGCCCTGTGCAGAGAGGGCTTCATAGAACATCTCTTACTCCGTAGAGCTGTCCTTGGTGGTAGGTTCCAGCTCCACCACTTCTTGGAGAAGAAAAGGCTCACAGAGTTAAGTAACATGCTCAAGTTCCTGGAGAATCAGAACCTAGGCCCAGACAGGTTGAGAACTCACACTCCATCTGCAAATGTTTACAAAGGGTTGAGAAAAGGCCTAGACATGGAGTACTGGCCACTTATGAGGCCCCCATGTGGTGGACATCCTTTGAAACTGTGGACAGCATGTGGCCTAAGCTCACTCCTATCCTTGCTCACAGGTGACCAAGCTGGTGCTTAGAGATGGGTGGCATTGCTGAGGTCACACACTGTCAGGTGGCACTGGGAACCCCAACCCTTCTTCTGTCTTCACCCCCACCCCCTTTCCACAGCATCCCTTGTAAACTGCCACAAGGTCTGAAGTTTCCAATTCTTTAATCCAAAGCAAGAGCCCTCCCTTCTCCTCTGCTTGAACCTCACCACCTCTAGACTTCAGCCTGCACTGGTGACATTTCCCCAATGGCTCCTATTTGGCCTGCCCACCTGCCTTCTGCTAGGGGCACCTGAAACCTGGGTAGAGAATGGCTCCACAGAAAGGCTGGCTCTTGGGAAACAAAACACCCGCACAGGATCATCCCACTTGCCTCCCAGCCGAGCTGGGGATGCCAGGCAGCACATGGTGTGGTGCTAAGAACAGACAGACAGGCAGCCACATGGGGAAATCAGCCAGCAGTGTAAAATTAATTCAGCTCAATGAAGGAGCAGCACCCATTAGCTCACAGGACCCAGGTCTGGGAACAGACTATGCCAGCAGGACTTCTTGGTCCTGACCAGTTCCTGGGAGGCTGAGAAGGGTGTCCTCCTGGGAAGGACCTGCCGCTCATGGCCCCTGGGGTGCTAGGGCCAGATACAGGCTGGTGAGAGCCTCTGCCAGCCACAGTTCAGAGTCAGGGAGGCACCTGTAATGCTGCCCAATCTACCTCAAAGAGGACAGCCCTGGAGCGGTGGGGACTGGACCTGTGAGCCCCCCCCACTCAGGGCTCACACTGGGGCTTCTCCACAGTGCTCCGACTTAACCCAGGCTGAGCAGGTGGAGATGGGTCACCTGGGACTGTGGGGAGATCTCCAAACACCCAGGCCAATAGAGGCACCTTTTCTCTCCCTAGAAAACTGCCAGGAGAGCTCGAAACAGGGACACTGCCCACCCCCTTGCCACCACCGCCCCCAGCGGCCCCACCACACTCTGAGCAGGAGACTGGTAGCATGCGGAACCAAAGGGGCATGCTTCTCCTTATGACCACCTACTTCCAGGTAGCTCTTTATACAAGGACCGGGGAGGGGTGGACAGTCCTACCGGTTCAAAGGGATGTGGGGGCATGGGGGAGGGGGCGGTCATAAATCACAACACACCTGTGGTACACACAGGTGCCAGGGCACACCTGGCCTCACGTCCTGGGTTAGCTACTTAGGGGCTGTGTGACTGTGCGCAGTCATTCAACCTTTCTAAGCCACAATGTCCTTCCTGGAAGATCCCTCTGACCTCATAGAGTCATCAAGAAAACTCAGAAGCCCACTTTCTCTCTCCCTTCGGAAATCTGATATTCAATGTCATATACCAAATTTAGAGATAAAAACATGGGAAAAAAAAATTGGTGCTTCCAAATCTGACCCTCCCCAGCTGCAAATTCTAAAATGCAGCAGCCTGTAGCTCCCACTCCTCCTGGGACCTGCAGATTCTCTCCTGACTGGTGCTCTAGAGGGTGTTTTCCCACCACCTCCACCATGGTGCCCACGTGGACAAATCGTCACCCCCTGCTTTTATACAGCCCCTCGGAGGTCATGAGACCCTTTCTGTCTCACAAAGACCCCAGGGAGGGGCCGCAGATCCTGAGTCACTATCCTCAGATTATGGACACTCAGCAAAGAAATAGGGGTGTCCCAAACAATGCCACTGGTAAGGGGTAGGCAGGACTGAACCAGGTTGGGGGACTGCTCTTCCAGCACCCTTTCTACTACACCGGGGACTGTAAACTGGGTTGGGCAGCCTGAGGATACCCCCAGGAAGACGCTTAGGCAGCAATCAGCTCAGAGTTTGAGCACCTGATTGATTAGTAATGTATGTTCCTGGAAGGGTGGGGGTGGGGAGCGTGAGCGTGGGCAACTGTCTGTCATCTTGGGCTGGCTCCCACCTCCCTTACCACACATGGGGCGGAGAGAAGGTGTGTGCGACTCGGACTCACAACCTTTCAGAAGGCACTAGTGTCTCTTTCCTCTTGCAGGTGAGGCACCTGAGTGATCCCTCCTACTGAGGCCAATAGGGCCAGAGGCTGGGGGGGGGGGTACATGATGGGTGCAGATAAAAGCCCTTGTCCTCACGAAGAGCCTGGTCCCCACATTCCCTGCTTGGTTGCGCTGAGACACTGACTGTGGGTCAGCGTGGTAACAGATGCAAGACCAGGGCTGGGCTGCCAGCTCCCAGGTAGCATTTGATTTTCCTCAATTCCCTAGGGTAGCTGCCTCCATCGATCTAAAGAGCAAGATGGTATTTCTCCCCAGGGATCCTGAACAGCCGAGTCTGCCGTCAGCACCGTATGAAAAGCTGGGAGAAAAAGGACTCACGCATTTGTTTCCCAAGAGGACAACACTCTCATAAGAGAACAGTCGGCAAAGGAGAAAGAGCAGGTGTCCAAGGAGGGAAGAGTGAGCTGGGCACAAACCCACTAGGGATAAGGAGTCTGAGCAGAGGCAAATCCCACATGTGTTGAGGGAGGCCAAAGCTTTGCGCTCCTTCAGAGTCCCTCAGCCAGGCGTGGGGCTGAACCAGGGGCAAGGCCCTGTTGCTGCTCCAGCAAAGGAGATCTGAACCCCACCACCCCACCACCCCCAGGTTCCAGACATCCGACAACAGGGTGTGGAGGCCCTGGGAGGTGCTGGGGACCCACTGCTGCCTTCCATGAGCTCAGAGACTGCTTCTGTTTGCCCGCTGGCAGGGCTCTTGCCATAAATCGTGCCCTTTGGGTGCCCAGGCACCCAGCACGGTAGGCTGAGTTCCCACCCTGTTGTAAAAAGGAGGAACAGGTCCAGGGCGGAGGAGAAAGCACAGTCCAAGCCCTGTGGTGGGTGAGTTCACAGTGATGCTGGCACTGGGTCTCTATGTCGGCCTGGTTCCAGGTCCAAACAAACCTGGAGGGTGGACTAGAGGGACACCTCACTCTTCCTTGGCCCTTCCGGCCCAGGGTTACCAGGAGAAATCTGACCAAGCCCTTTGCTCATGGTCAAGCCTGATGAGACTCTGGGCACATGGGAGCTTTCTACTCAGCACTCAGGTACCACTTCCCAAGGAAGAGCAGGGAGGACAGATCTGAGAGGGGCCTACCTGCCAGCCCAGGTGGGAGGAAGAAAGGAAACCCTGATGCTGGGAGGGTGAGCCCTCAGTGCCGAGCACCTGGCATATGAACCGGAAGAAGGAGGAGGAAGTGGCTTTCAGGAGCAGCTATCGTCAGGCTACCGTGTCCTGCCTGGGTCATATAGCTCCTGTCCCTGCACAAGCCCCCAGAGGCAGCAGATCAGCCTATACCTCACCTGGGTGTTGCTTCTGATAATAGATGCTCTCACCTGTGCCAGACGCCAGCCTCCCTGATTGATGCAGCTCTGCTCTCTCACTAAGTGCTGCCCACTCGGGGCAGCACCTGCCTACTGCCTCCCTGGGCCCCTCCTAGCAGGGTCAGAGGCAGCAGGGGCCACCAGGGCGGGCTGGGTCATGCATTCTCAGCCCCTCTGTTCTCTACCATCTTATCAATGATGTGCAGGGAGATAAAAACCAGGGGTGGCTGTCAGGGAGGGTAGGAGGGAGGGAGGAGGAGGAAGGAGCTGAAGCTTGGAGCTGAAGACAAGCAAGCCCACAAACGTCATGTACTTCCGTTTTAAATCCTTAAATCTGGTCACACGGGTTTCCCACAATATCCAGAAGTTTGCATTACACCACTTTGCTTTTACCGAAGATCTACATTAGTACTTGTTTCCAGTAACTAAAATAAATCTGAACACCGTATTTGCTTTTACAAAGGGTAATGGCTTTTCCATTTTACACCATTCAGTTTACAAAAGACTTTATAGGAATAATCTACCTTCAGGTAGCAGGGGAAACCTGGAACTGTTTTTTAATGAGAAAATAATACTCAGGAAGAACTATGTTGTTCCAGGCAGACAAAATGACATTCTCTTTCTCATGGGTATTCTCAGCTGGGGACCCCAAGATGACAAGGCTGTAGGGGAAAGAAGAGGTGCCCTGGACACGACCCACCACACATGAAAAAGAGGTGGCCAAGTGAGGCGAGCAGCCCTGCAACTCCACCCTGACGCCCGCACGGAGGATCAGGTCTTACCCTGCCAGGGTCAAGGACCCTAAAAGGTAATACATTTTCTGTGTTAGGCTGAACAGCAGGCTGTCTGTTGAGGACCAAAAAGGGGCTCCGACTTGCCCCTGCCTGGTGGGGCAGGGTGGCAAAGCCAGACCATCCCCAGCCTCGCTCACCTCTCCCTTCTTTACGGTCATGGACTGCCGGCGGGGTGTGATTTCTTCATTGATACTGGACAGGAAGTTCTGTGAGATACGGAGGGCATCCTGCAGCAGAGGGTGGTCAGGGTGGCTGGACGGCGTGTGCTTCAGTAAGTCCTGTGTCAGGCGAGAGAAGACTCAGGTCAGAGAGAGCACAGCCCTGGAGCCCACCACTGTGACATTCTGGGCTGGATCACTCCCTGTGGAGGGGGCTGTCCAGTGCACCGTAGGACGTCAGCTCCCCATCCCAGCCTCTAGGCACTAGATGCTGGCACGCCTCCTTTGCAGCTGTGACAAGCAACAGTCTCCAATTTTGCTGCATGTCCCCTAGGGGGCAGAAATGGTCTCATCCAGGACCACTGGTCGGTGCCAGCCAGGAGAAAGCGCCTGACCTTCCCTGATCCTCCTGCTTTAGAGAGGAGATGGAAACGTTGACTCCTTCTCCACTAGGAATGCACGCAATGCAATTCGTGCTCAAGGTCAACAGCTCCTTGGTTCAGAGAAACAACTCCCTTCACTCTCAAATCCCCCCTGTAGAGAACCTGCAGAGATGAAATAAGCCTGGAGGAAAGCTCTGGTGCCGGTAGTCCCAGAACCCCCATGACACCCCTGGGCCCCTCTGGCTTTTCCCTGTCAGGATGCTCGGAATGGAGACAGAATAAAGGTCTCTAAGACTCCGTCTGATGAGCCACCAGTCAGAGCTTTTTTTTTTTTTTTTTTAAATAAATGTCATTTTATTTTTTTAAATTTTATGTATTTATTCATGAGACACACAGAGAGAAAGAGAGACAGGCAGAGAGAGAAGCAGGCTCCATGCAGGAAGCCTGATGTGGGACTCGATTCGGGGTCTCCCGGATCACGCCCTGGGCTGAACGCAGCGCTAAACTGCTGAGCCACCCGGGCTGCCCCAGCCAGAGCCTTCTAAACCATGTCTCTCATCTCCCTCTGAATCGGAGGAGAGGGAGGAATTATGAAATGTGCACTTAACAGAATACGACACAGCTTCAATACTATGGGGCAGAGCTGTTGGGCTAAAGTGGGACACTCTCCAGCACATCAATTTAATGGGAAAAAAAGGCAAAGTGGGATGATACATAGCACAACGCTTGCATAATTAAAAAAGACATTCACGTATGTCAGCATGTGTATCAAAGAATCCTTGTGGTGGTGACTCCTTTGCTGGGAGGAAGTAGGAAAGGAAATGGGAAGCTCACATACTTCTGTGACTTGGTTGCAAATTAAAAAAAAATGTATGTACAACTTGCTCTAAATATAAATGAATAGGGTCACCTGGGCAGTAGGACTAGGGGCCAATTTTGTTTTCCCTGCTGCCTTCAGGAGCAGCTCCGCTGAGGCAGTGGCCCTCCCCAGGCTCCCTCTCCCCAGGCTAGGAGGCAGTGGTCATCCTTGCAGCCCTGGAAGGCACCTACCCTCTCTGCCCACTCTCCGTCTACCTCAGAGGCCCTGCTTACACGGGACAGGACACTTCCTCCCTGCATCAACCCCTACAAAAGCACTCTGGACACCTTAAGAATCTGCTTTGTTCTCCCTTCACCCCTGCCCTGTGAGCTTCTCATTTCTGCATCTACAATAAATGTGTGTGGCAGGAAAAGAGAATGTATGGGTAACACTGACAAATATCAGTGTCAGCCCTGGAGCAACAGAAGCCAAGAACCCCAAAGTGAGAAGGTCCTGGATGGAGTGACTCACATGCAGGACCAGCGTGCTGCGTGTCACCCGGTCCACAGGCTTGTAGAGCAGGGCTGCAGAGAGAGGGGCAGGGTGAGAGGTGGCTACGCACAGAGAAAGCAGCCCCAGACCACCCCGCCTGCCTGTCCTTGCTGCAAACGCTGGAGTAGGGGGAGTGGCCCAATCCCCCGCCCGCCCCCCCCAACTACTCCACACCCAGTGACAAGGTCAAACCCTGAGGACCTACAGGGTTGGGCACATGGCTTTGAGCTTCTGATCTGTGACATTAAATGCTGAGTCCAGAGCTATGGGTCAACCCAAGTTGACACCCCCCCCCCCGGAGTTGGGCAGCCCACCAGCATCCTGGTGCAGATGGGCCAGCAAGGGTTCCAACCCTGGCAGGGTCTGGAGGGTCTCCTGGGGACAGACCAACATGTCACTCACAACATCCATCCCTGTATAGTTTAGAGGCCTGATTCCGAGGATGCACTAACTCAGGTGCCGATTTAGCTCTTGGCTGTTTAAGTGTTTTCAGACACCTGGACTCCAGGAGCACAGGAGCCCTGGCCAGCTGTGGCAGCCCCTGCTTCTCCATGAGGATGGCGAGCCCTGTCCATCACAGGCGCAGATGCATACATGTCCTGACATATATCAGGAGCATTTCCTCATGTGACTCCCACAACTACTGTAAGACTTGCATTGTTACCTCACTTTATAGATGAGAGACTGAAACTCAGAAGCATGGTGAAGCTCTGCTACCAGAGTCAGAGTCTGCCATTCTCTCTAAGTATAACTATTCATGCCATCTTAATAACCAGAACTGAGGTGTGACCTGTCAGTCTTGATCCTGTTTTCTGCCCACAGTGAAGGGGCCGGACACACAGGCCTGGGAGCCTGGCAACTCTGGCTTTCCCCCTGCCTGGCCACTTAGGACCTATGTTCCAGCGGGGTTACTTTTGTTCTAAACCTGTTCTGTCATCTGAAAAAAAGGGAAAATAAAATCCTCCTAACAGGGCTGTTGGGGACAACATGATGACATTTTAAATACCCAGCAGTGCCTGGTTTCCATGTGTTTGCAAACCCCTACTATCCTTCCTCGTTGCTACTATTGGTGGAAAGCTGGTCCTGACCACATCCCTCCCCATCCCACCACACCCAGTGCTGCTTTTGCCATGTCTCCCCTCTCACTATTAGAAGTCTGGAGTGGCAAGGGTGCCGGAGGGTGACCCAACTGGGGGCTGTATTTGCTTTTCCAGCAAATGCCCCCTTGGCTCATGGCAGCTATCCCTCTAGGGAGCACGAGGAGGCCTCGGCACAGAGAACTCACTTTCCAAAGAGTTCTTGGTCGTCTGGTCCTTGGCATCCTTGTTGCTTCTGGCTTTCAGGTTCTACAAAGAGAAAAGCACGTTTTCACATGGGACCACTGAGGCAGCGTTGATGTGGCAGGAAGTTCTGTGGCCAGACACCTTCCACAGAAAACTCACCCTTCTCTCGCTGCACAAAACCTTATATGAGGCAAGTCTTAGGGGTGTCCTGAACCAAAGCATGAAATACAGGGTGGGTGGAACACAAGGCCTGCCCTGGGCATGTTGGTTCACCTGCGACTGTTGACATTTGGGGCCAGAAATTCTCTTACTATGGAGGCCTGTCCTGTACACTGTGGGATACTGAGCAGCATTGCTGGCCTCTACCTCTGGGTGCAGCAGCACGTTCTCCCCCTGTTGTGACAATCCAAAATCGCCAGGCATTATTAAGTTGTCTCCTAGAGACAAAATCACCCCTGGTCAAGAGCGCCTCTGACACACAGACTCCTATAAAAATGTGGCAAACCTCAGTGTCCTTCCTAAATGCATAGAACTGCTTTCTCAGAGAAGTTAAACAGTGTGCAAGGAAGCTAATGGGTTGGAAAAGCACTCACCTTTGGACATGGCCACGGCGGGACCCCCACCACTGAGACCCGCGCCAGGTTCCACCTGCACCCCACTTTCTTCTGACTTTGCAAATGTATAGGCATACCGTGGAGATATTGTGGGTTTTCTTCTGGACCAAGCCACAAAGCGACTATTGCAATGAGGCAAGCTCAGTGATTTTTTTTGGTTTCCTAGTGCCTATAAAAATTATGTTTATAATCTATTAAGTGTTCAATGGCATTATGTATAAAAACAATGTACCTAGTTTGATTAAAAAATACTCTAGTGCTAAAGAATGCGAACCATCATCTGAGTTTTTTTTTTTTTCATCTGAGCTTTCAGCGAGTCATAATCACTGACCATAGTTCATCACAAAAGACATAATAATGGAAAAGTTTAAAATGTTGCAAGAATTACCAAAATGTGACATAATGAGCAAATGCTTTTGGAAAAATGGCACCTTCAGACTTGCTCAACACAGCATTCCTACAAACCTTCAGTTTGTAAAACAAAACAAAACAAAACAAAACAAAAAACACAGTATCTGCAAAGTGCAATAAAGGTGAGCCTATAGTTTCTAACAAACAGGCACTATGATCCCCAAAGGAAAGCAGAGATTTTTGGTGGGTAGGTCATGTTTTCACACAATTGCATCAAAGGCATCACTGATTGAGTCCAAGGTACCAAGAGAAACCAGGATATAAGATTCTGTGTACCTGAAATCATCTCCGGGAAGAAGCTATGGTTAATCCCATTACCAGACTGCTGACCAACAATAAGAAACAGCATGGGGTCCAAAAGGGGCTCAGAGATGGCTTTCCCAACCTCTCATGCTGTGGTAAACCTCTCACAACTTAAATGTGTGGTATTTTAAGCTCATTGGGGCCAAATGCACTTTGGTACCTCTCTTGAGAGTTTAACGCCCCTCATAGTGATTACTCCTCCATACACCTGTCTCAGAAATTCCTGAGGGGTGCAGGGGATGAGAGGGGTGTGAGAGCTGAACATGAGCCTCTGCAAGTCAGGTTCCACACTCACGTGGGCCTGGGAGGCAGCCCTCACACCACGTGCCTCTGGGCAGTACCATGCACACAAGCATGCAGAGGTAGGTCGAGAAATCCTGCCTCAAAGAATCTGGCTTAATCCCACACTTTTCAAATTTAACTTGGTCCCCAGAGGCCCTGTTCCCAGAATTCTCAAACATCTATCGTGTGGGAGCTGGCATTCCACAAAACCCAGCTTGGGCAACTGTGGCTTAAGTGGATGCTGCCCTAGCTCATTTTCAGGACTGGGAGGAGATGAGGGGCCACTGTTCCACTGCTCCCTGTCCTAGAGGTAACTGTCCTCCCCAAGCCTGAGCTCTGACCCCTGGAGTGCAACCTCTGCATGGCCTGCTGCTTCTGTTTCCTTTGGCTTCATTTTGCTCCGTCTGGGTGGTTCCAATTTCTCTGGGTCTCTTTTAAAAACATGGGTGGGGAACCAAAGCGGATGCTGCCTAGAAGGGACAAGCTTCATGGAGGGCCAGCTTTCAGCACGTCCCAAGACGCTGTCTCCCTCCCAGTATCCTTGCCTCAGCTCAGAGTCCCACTCGTGCATGGTCAGTGGGACCACATGACCCCTGGGTGGTAGCTCACCATTGCTTCCTCCTTCCTCTATAGAAACCTGTGTGGGTGGACTTGAACTTGGCCCCCTCTAGCTGTAGCATGTTCTTAAAGGATTAGATCTCTAATTTGTTAAGGTCACTCGGGATTCTGCACCAACATGCCAGCTGTTAGGGGTGGGGGGATGGAGGTTTGCTAAGTGAATGAGCTAAAGAAAGGTGTGGCCTAAATGCTCCAGGCAAAACAGAGCACACAGGGAGGGATGTCTGGAGCCAGCCCAGAACCCTGGGTGCAGGTGGCCTGTTACCAGCAGGCCAGGCAGGAAGTGGGCTCCGGAAGAACAGCCCGGCACCCATTACCACCATGAGAGACCATCAACACCCATGACACGCTACCTCTTGCGACAAATTACAAAATGGCACCAAGCCCCCAGAACAAAGCCAGGTATGATAGGGTGTAAGGGAGACCCCAGTCATTCCCTTTTTCTAGTTTCCATTTATTTTTCTTATGCTAATTTCTCTCATGGAATCTTTCCACCCAGAACCCTTGTTTGGAGGAGGGAGGGCAAGTCAGAGCTCTGAGGAGCCAGAGGCATCACAAGCAATGACAGGCCCAGAAAGTGGGAAATGTGACCCAGCTGCACAGGGCAGAAGCAGGATGTGGCAGGCTACAGAAAGCCCTTGCTGGGAGCCTGGAGAGGTAGGTGCTGCAGGCTCTGGTCTAGGGGCGGCCACCCACCCCGATGACCTGCTCATCCTCTCTGTATCTGATGTGCTCTTTTGAGGCCCCTCATGCTAACACTCGGGCTCGAGGTTTTAGTGGTCCTGGAGCTCTAGGCTCCCACGTATAGACAGAAAGTGGCAATGCCAATTCCACACCCCGGTACTAGCTGCTTAGTTTGCCTGGCAAGCAAGGTCCCCAGGCAGGCTAGAGAAGGAAGAGTGCAAACCACACCTCCCCAGCTGCTCTCTAGCAACCAGGTGCATAGTCAGCCTCAGGACTCTCATGACTGGACCTCCCAGAACTATGGACAATGCTTACTGCACAAAGACGGTGCAAGACAGCATCTGTCTGGGGCACTCAGCAGAGCCCCAGAACTGGGCCCCAGCCCTTGGGGTGGGAGGGCACTTGCAGGGCCGCTCCCTCCTGTGTCCCCCATACTGGGCTGACAGAGCCAACCCAGAAGTATCTGGAAAGAAAGTGGAGATTTACAACCAGAAGTTGGTTTGGTGCACCTTGTTCTCCTGGGTCACAGTGTGCCAACGACCAGCCCACGTTCCATTTGTGGGAGGTGGAGGGGTGCACCCGTCTGAACAGAGTCATGAGTACCTCAGAGATTTCTGCAAACTGAGAGTTGGCCTGACAGCACTTCTCCGCCGTTTCCATGGCGACGCCGTAGTTGTCTACAAAGGCTCGGTACACACCCAGCTGGCTGGCCTGCAGGGAGGAAGGAAGAGAGTGTGGGACAGGTGCGGAACATGCGTCACTGCTCCCCATCTTTCTGAGAAATGGGCTTCTGTGCCCAGCTCTGTAGAAATCCCAGGTGCAGCAGACAGCACAGAGCTGCAGACACCTCAGCTCTTCCTTGCAGTTGCCTCCCACCTGCTTCCCCTCCCCACGCACCAAGTATGTTCCCCTCTTCCAAGTGACATGTTGAGAAGTGACTCACAGCCCTGGGCAGGTAAGGGCTCCCTTCCATAGCTGCTTATTCCTCCCATCCTACTCATTTACACACTGCCACAGCAGTGGCTAAAACTCAAAGTTGTCAGTGAACGCAGACAAGAGCCTACATAGGGGGGATGGAGTGGTACCTTCTCATTCTGGCTGTAGGAGACTACAGACTAAGGAGGTCGGCCCCTGGGCTGTGGTGGCCACAGTGCTCCACTCTTGTCCGATCTCTCCAGAAACATAAGGAACATGCAATCTAGCTGCCACTGGGGAATGAGGGGCTCCCACTCTCCAGACATGAGCCGAGCCCAAACCTGGCAAGCGGGTCCAGGTATCATGCTCCATACCTGGTGTGTGGGAGACCTGCTGGCTGTCAGCTGCAAGGCAGAAGTACTTTGTCTTTTGTCAAACCAAAGATATTAATAGAGGGTCTTTTCATATAATCTCCTGGTCAGATACCCAACTGAGTGACAATGGTATGGATGTGTGTGTACACACACGCATGTGTATATAAGCCACCACCACCTCTGGGCCCCAGGTCACCTTCAGAGGCAGCTAAGGGGAAACCTCCTCTTGTACCAGCAAAGCCAGACCTAGGGAGGGTAATGGAGGACCTGGTGACCAACTAGCCAAGACTTCCCATTGTAGCCGACCAGCAGTTGGAAGTCTAAAGCTTTAGCTGATCCTAGAGTCTGTTCTGGGCTGAATGTAAATTTTATTTCTATGTGTTTGCATTTATATTGAATTTTGTATTTCTTCAGATGACGATGCCAAATGCTAGTAAGCTAGGTGCCCTTGGTACTGTCTGGTCTCTGGCTTTGCTCCCGGAGGGGCTGCATGGAGGCCCTGTGTGGCTCCTACTGCACTGAGCACCCTGACATGTTACTACATCTCCAAACACTGATCGGTACAATGGTCAGACTCTAGAGCACTTTGTTTTCTCCCTCCTCTGCTGGTCATTGAGTGCCTACCTCCACAATGAAGCTCTGCTTCAGGCACTGTCACCACAGCTGCAAATCACTCAGACACAGTGGGGCCAGTGGCAGTAGAGATACACGATAAGTCAACAGACATGTAATATAGCAAATGTCTGAAAACAGAGCAGGGGTTAAAAGCTATGGTGCTGCTTCAGAGAATGTGGTCAGGAGCCCTGAGGGGACATTACCATTGACAAGCATAACCTCGAAATTCCTATGGTGAAATCCTAACTCCTGGCACCTGAGAATGTGACTGTATTTAGAGAGAGGATAAGAGGTGATGAGGTTAAAATGAAGTTGTTAGGGTGGGTCCTAATCCAGGATGATGGGTGCTTTTATAAGCGATAAGGACACTGACCCACAGGGGGACCCGTGTGAAGACACATGAAGACTGCGGCCATCTGCAAGCCAAGGACAGAGGCCTCAGGACAGACCAACCCTGACGGCACCTTGATCCTGGACTCTTCTAGCCTCCAGAACCATGAGGAAATAGATTTCTGTGTTCAAGCCATCTGGATTGGCAGCCCTAGCAAACTGATGGGAGTTCCAAGAGAGGTGAACCCCTTCCATTCCTTCTCCTTTTCCCCAAGGACCTCCCACTTTCCACGTGACTTTTGCATAGTGCCAAGCAATCTCATCTCACATATTTAACTAATCCAAAATGGAGCTGGACCAGTAATAGGATAAATGGAGATCATGTGCCTCCTGATACAAGGCACAGAGGAGGACACAATATCACTGCTGCAGCTTGTTTTGTTTTCACAGAAATGTAGAACTTGAGTCTATTCCTGAGAAAACATCAGACAAGCCCAATCTGGCCTGTACCCTTCAAGAAATGTCAAGGCGACAAACAAAGGCCAAGGAACTGGTATAAACTGAAAAAACTAAAGAGATGTGAAAACCAAGTCCATCTTGTGCCCTCGGATTGGATCCTGAATCAGAGAATGAAAGTGCCTAAAAAGAACATGATTGGGGAGTCTGGGTGGTGCAGTCTGTTAAGCATCTGACTCTTGATTTCAGCTCAGGTCATGATCTCAGGGTGGTGAGATTGAGCCCCATGTCAGGCTCTGCTTGAGAATCTGTCTCCCTCTGCCTCTCCCACTTGTACTTTCTTTTTTAAAAAATATTTTTAAGGTTTTATTTACTTATTAGAGAGAGAGAGAGAGAGAGAGAGAGAGAGAGGGAAAAAATATGAGCGGGGGAGGGGCAGAGAGAGAAGCAGATTCCCCACAAAGCAGGGAGCCAGATGCGGGACTCAATCTCAGGACCCTGGAATCACGACCTGAGCCAAAAGCAGATGCTTAACCAACCGAGCCATCCAGGTGCCCCCCAAAATAAATATTAAAAAAAACAAACCTGATGGCTAACTTGGGAGAAATTTGCATATGTACTATGTGTTTTTTTTTTTTTTTAATTTATGATAGTCACACACACAGAGAGAGAGAGGCAGAGACACAGGCAGAGGGAGAAGCAGGCTCCATGCACCAGGAGCCCGACGTGGGATTCGATTCCGGGTCTCCAGGATCGCGCCCTGGGCCAAAGGCAGGCGCTAAACCACTGCGCCACCCAGGGATCCCTGTACTATGTTTTAGATAACAGCACCACACCACCGTGAAAGTTTCTGAATTTGATCACTGTACTATGGGGTTATGGAATACGTTGTCTTTGTTTTTAGCAAATACACAATGAACTATTTGGGGTAAAACGGCAAAAGTATCTGCAATAATTATTCAGCACATTCACGTGCACACACACGTATATAAAAATGAGAGAGGAAAAGATAAAACAAATTTGGCAAAATGTTTCAACTGGTGGATCTGGCACATGGGAGTTCTTGGACTATTTCTGCACCTCTCTGGAACTTTGAAATGATTAGAAAGACAAAAAAAAGAGCCTGACAAAATTTCAGCCCGAGACAGACCCCTAAAGCAGCGGCATTTAACCCATACATTCCCACAGGAAGGGGAGCCCAAGGCTTTCTGAGATACCAGAAATCCCTGGGGAAGGGGAGGTGCTATGGCTGGGGCAGGGCATCACAGGCTCTTTTGGTCCTAAGACTCTCCTAGCTGGGGAGCCTGCTGAGGTGACACTGGGCTGACCCTGCTGTGCTGTCAGACGGGACAGGGGAGCCCTAGCACCCTGCTCAGCGGCACCCATGAACATTCTTCACACAGTTCCTGGGGCATGACTTCCTGCTGTAGCCCCATCACCCCTCTCTCTAGTCCTGCTGCAATGTCTGACCCACAAAGCTAGTTCAAGGATACCGGGAAAACCAAAGGAAACCGCCTCAATTCTGGGGTCCATCAGACTATGAAAATTTGCAAGAGAAGTCTCTGAGTGATGTTGGAATGTTATTTGGGGAAGAGTGTTGGGTGCAGTTTCTTTTCAACAATATGATTCTCCAGTTCTCAGGAAGGCTGCAGGCTGAGCCAAATCTACTAGGTTTAAACCTGCTGACACTTCACACAGGGAGAAATAGGGTAGGGAGCACTTCAAAGATTGGGGTTGCTGCACCAACACAGCCTCCTACTTTCTGGCCATAGAGAAAGGGGTCTCACATGGTGGGAATCTGAACAGAAAAGCAAAAAGTTTCATGTGTTTCTTGTACTTTCGCTCCAGCCTGGGGTCCAAGGTGTCTTGTAGCCCAGGGTAGTGGAGAGAGAGGACTGCCAACAGGAAGAAGGCCACACCTTGGAGTAGAACGCTCTAGCCCAGGCACAAGCCAAGGCAAGGACTGGGTCTGGGCCAGCTGGGTGTCTGGGCAGCCCAGGGGGCCATGCTCTGCATACCTAGAGGAGGCCTGTGACCTTGGGAGGGGGGACCAGCTCCACACTTTAGACCTGCTGGGGTGGGGGCCTCCTTTCCACACATGTTGGAACCTCACACACTGTAAGACAGACATCGACCAGATAGCTCTCATTTGAGTTTTCTCCTTCCTCTTGCAGGTGCCTTAACTGTTTCCTCCTTTTGGACAAGTTTTAGCTGGCCCACGCCTTGGTTAAATAAGCACTTTGAGCCAATCCCCATCCCAGATGTAGCCTGGCCAGTGCCAAGGGGCCTGCCAACCCCCTTTATTTTGACTGCTAAGTTTTACTGGTCCCGCTGACTTTTTTTTTTTTTTTAAGATTTTATTTATTTATTTGACAGAGAGAGGGAGAGAGAGCACATGCACAAGCACGGGGAGCAGTAGAAGGATAGGGAGAAGTAGGCTCCTCGCTGAGCAGGGAGCCCAATGAAATGTAGAGCTCCACCCCAGGACCCCTGGGATCATGACCTGAGTTGAAGGCAGATGCTTCACGGACTGAGCCACCCAGGCACCCCATGGTCCTGCTGACTTTTTAAAAAGCCATATCCTTGGCTCCTCTAGGGTCCTGTGGTCAGCAAAGGGTCATAGAGGCCCCTTACGTGCCTTCTTGGTGGGCCCCTTTTGTCCCGATAAGTTGTTTCTGCCTCTGGGACCTGAACTGGGACCCAGAGCCACCTCTGCCAAAAGGATTCCTGGTCAGTATGGGCTCAATAAGCCCTTTCAGAAATTCTTTCTGTCATCCAGCATCACTTGTCCTTCAGTTTTATGGCCCAAGAAGGCAGAAGGAAAAGCACTCTTTTTGGAAAGAAGCCAGTATTACACTACCAGCAAGTGGCCCAGAATTCCTCAGTCTTCTCACTTCCACAGTGGCTGGGGCAGGACCTGCCTTACAGGGCTGCCTCAGCTCAGGTGAGATGGGCACCTATAGGCTCTCCTGTGCCCCACTACTCAGGAGTCAGGCAGCCTCACATTGCAAGGCTGTGCCTCAGTCTACGCTCTGCAGGGACAAACCACTTGCCCTGCATTTCTCCAACCTGTCTGTAAGAACCAGCTGTGATTCCTACAAGGCATGAGTGTCACTGTCAAAGTCATCGTTAAATATGGCTGCAGGTTGTGAAAAAAAGCTGCTGGGAGGAGCTAAGGGCCACATAATGCCTTATTTTCCCACTTCTCTCTGCCAGGGCCCTCCTTCAGGTTCTTTTCTTCTTTCTTTCTTTCTTTCTTTCTTTCTTTCTTTCTTTCTTTCTTTCTCTTCTCTTCTCTCTCTCTCTCTCTCTCTTTCTTTCTTTTTCTTCCTTTCCTTTCCTTTCCTTTCCTTTCCTTTCCTTTCCTTTCCTTTCCTTTCCTTTCCTCCTTCCTTCCTCCCTCCCTCCCTCCCTCCCTTCCTTCCTTTCTTTTAGATTTTGTTTATTCATGAAAGACACAGAGGCAGAGGCAGAGGCAGAGGCAGAGGCAGAAGCAGGCTCCTCACAAAGAACCTGATGTGGGACTCAATCCCCGAACGGGGATCACGCTCTGAACCGAAGGCAGATGCTCAATCACTGAGGCACCCAAGCACTCCCACTCCTTCAAGCTTTAGGAGCACTTTCCCCACTACCTTGATTTTTACTGACCATGTCTCTCCACCCCACACCACTTTAAAAAAAAATTCTCCAGGGGCGCCTGGCTGGCTCAGTCAGTACAGCATGCGACTCTTGATCTCGGGGTCATGAGTTCAAGCCCCATGTTAGGTGTGGAGCCTACTTAAAATAAGGGCTCCACATCCCAGAGCCTTTGACAACACACGCCCACAGAGCAAGGGAGAGGCTGGATCCCTGCAGAGCCGCAAGCTCCTGGGAGACTGTCGTGTACCTGTTCCGAGTCACTCACCAGCTTCTGGAAGAGATCACCCACTCGCTGCTGGTGACTCCACTGCTGTACTCGGGGGAAGAGCCCATCATAGAACTCCTTGTGGATCTCATAGAGCTCAGGCACTTTGAAGAAGATGGTCTCAATCTGCTGGCTTGTCAGCACCGGCTGAGAGGTGGTGGCAGCAGCCTTCAAAGGTTTCATGGGCTGGAAGAGAGCACAGGTGAGGCAGCACAGGTGACAGGTGAGAGTGGCACTGGAGAGGGTTGCTGTTTTTCAGGTACATGGTATGACCACAGAAAATCAGTTATGTGACATCTGTGCTTTTCTTTTTAAATTCCATTAAAAATAAAAATTTAAAGCCAGCTTGGTTTGGCACCTGTCTTATGCTAGTATCCACTATGCCATGGGGAGGTCCAGCTTCTACAGAGATGGAATGACCCTCCAGGGAGGGCGGGCTGCCTTCTGACTGCTGTCCTGGGACCTGGGACCTGTGAGCAGAGTGCCCCTGCCCTGATCAGCCCCCTACCCTCTCCTCACCAGCAGCAGTGCCTCCAGGTGGCTCAGGTAAGTCTCTTCGCTAGCCAGGATTCCAGACAGGACCCATTTCCTCATCTCCATGCCTTTTTCCAAGTCCAACTCACTCTGTAGGAGAAAGAGACAAAGGTCAGACCTGGGGGTTGGCTCCTGAAGTGGCCCCTCTCAGAGAGGAAGGCCTGCTTATCAACCTGAGGCCAAGCCTCTGAGGGAAGGCTCCATGTAGAAATAAAGGGAGACACAGGAGTCTCATCAAGTCAACCATTTGCTCATAGACACTGCAAATTCTGGAGGGTCGTCCAGCAAAGCTGAGGGTCACCCTTGGTCTTGCCAATAGGAAATGGGCAGCGTCCGGCTGAGCAGTCAGGGCAAGGCCCCCTGGTTCATGGCACTTTGTTACAGGTGCTCAGCAAACAAACACAAATGCTGATGTCAAAGGCAATGAAATCTATGTGTGATTTCCTGGTTACACCTCCCATGTGCTCCCTGACCACCAGTGAGGGAATCAGTATCAGAGACTGGCTATGCCCATGACCCACCCATGTGTTGACGGGCCCCATTATAGCCCACGGAAAGTGACGTAACACTCTTGCCCATGCTACTGGTTTCCCACCTGTGGCTGAACATGAACAACCATACTGCTCTGTGGCAGCCCTTGGGCATAGAACCAGAGCACTGGCGCTGTGGTCCACTTTGCCGAAGCACTCAGGGGAGATCACTGATCTGGGGCAGGCTCCTGGCTCTTGGCACTGCTGACATCTAGGGCTCGAGGATTCTCTTTAGGATGCTGGGGGGACTTGGGTGTTGAGCAGCATTTCTGGTCTCCATCCAACAGATGCCAGGAGCAACACTCCCCTCCCAACCCTGGCTGGGACAGCCACAAATGTCTGCAGATATTGCTACATGTCCTCTGGGGTCAAATTATGCCTACGTGAGAACCACTGGGTTCCAGAAAGGCCTGGCCCTAAGGCCAGTTCAGGTCTCACAGTGTCTCTATAGCATCCAGAATCAGGACTCCAGCATGGCCCTTCTGTGTGTTTCCCATCCTGCCAGCCCTTGCCACTTCCCTGGACTGGGAGAAGGGAGCTACCCTGGTGCAAATGGGTGGCTCAGCAAGAAGCACCCAGAGCCAGGAGGTGGGGGACAGGGCCACAGAGTCAGGCCTGCCCACTGAACACCTGGCAACTGAGTCTCAGGCAACTGCCCTCCTGCCCGGAGCATCAGTTGCCTGGGTATAAACTGGGGAAGGAAGGCTCAATCCCCAGGTCCCACCTGCTTCTGCTTTCTGGGTCCCTGGGGCTTGTACCACATCCTCACTGCCCACTGGGACCACCCAAAAAGTCTTCCTGAACCACTACTTTGTTCTGGGAATCTCTCAGTGTGCATGAGCTAGGGGCATGCATATGCTTGTATGTGTGTGCATGCCCAAGTGTGTATGTGTACTCGTGTGTGTGTAGGGGGCAGCCGCCATGATCATGGCTAAGTATCACTCCAGAGAAAGCACACTCAGGTCCCACCCCACACAGACACGACCCCCCACCCCCCGGCCCACCCCAGGGCACCACGGGCAGCGGCTCCACAGGCAGAAATCTCCAGGACATGCTGTGCCTGACCTGGAAACTTCCTGTGCCAGCTCAGTACCTGGAACACATAGGTGCTCCATGAAGATATAATGAATAAACAAACCAATGAATGGATCTAGGATGCTTGGCTGGGCCCTATTTTTGGCTGTATCTTTGCGAGGTTCTGAGGTCCCTTTCTGGAACCCTTGTCTGTTTGACAAGCAGGTGCCAAGATCCAAAACTGTCAGCTTAGCCCGTTCCACAGTCAGCAAATCTGTGGCACACAGTGCACAGACATGTAGGGTAGGGGCCACTAACACCTTGTCTCATCTCAGCCCACCAAGGTCACACCATGAATGGTGGCAGCGTGTTGGAGAAGCACCTCTCAGCTGCCCCTGAACGTGCTTCCCACTGTGTCCAGGTGCCATCTGTGCCTCAAGCAAGGGCAGATGTAAAGGTGAAGGGCACAGCAGGCTCCTTGAGCAGCAGTGGCCACCCACCCAGTTCTACTGTGTCCGAGGAACAATCCCGCTACTGTGAGCACTGGTGCGGGGGGTGGGGTGGGGGGCGCGCGGGGGGGGGGCACACGGCGAGCCCCACCCAGCACGAGATGCCGGTACTCACGTGGGTGGCAGTGCGTCTCATTCCCACCCACACAATTTGGAAAGCTGGGAGGAAAAAGAGCGCAGGCAGGATGGCGCCAACTCCAGCTCTCACTGTTTCGAAGGGCGCGGCCAGCTCAGGGGACCGTCTGGCCTGGGGAATGTGCCAGGCTAGGGAGAAGACACGGGTGTGGATACCTCTCTGTGGACCAGTGCTCGTCTCCCCGAGCCCCAGAATGGTGCTGGAGGCTGGGGGCAGACAGGGACGGCTCAGAAGCCAGCCAACGGCATCTTGAAGGAGAGGGCGCGTAAGAAATGCAGACAATGAGGGAACAAAGGGCAGGGCCGGGGCCAGGGTTATTTATAGCTCTGCCTTGTGCACGTGCCAGTTCTGGAAAGGGCATGTGAGTCCAGTCAGGACCGGGATGGCAGGGAGATCCTGGTGGAGAGGAAGCCAGAGGAGAAGGGCGACTGGAAAGAGAAGCGGCCAGCTGGAAGGCAGGCCTCTCACCTCTGCTGGGGAGGGAGGAAGCCACACTGACCTGAGGCTGCAAGAGCGGATAAAAACAAACTGGACGTGACAAAGGGGAAAAGGCCTACAAAGAGACTCAGGTGAACAGAACCGCCACCAGGCCCCAAGAGGGCAGGAGCTGAACTCGAGTGGCAGGAGTATGGATGGCAGGGTGGAATCTGGGGAGCACTCTTTACCCCCAGCCCCAACCTGAGGGAGCCAGGGTGATCAGGGAATCAAACCCCGGCTGTGAAGGGGTGGGCTGCTTCCAGCTGGGAGTTGGCAGCCAGTTTGCTGGACAAAGGACCCTTCCTCTCTGGGTAGGGGCCATGCCTTTGCTTGGCAACAGGGACGCCCACCATCCTGGAGCCTGGCCAGCAGAGGGCCAGGGGCTGGCCTCCACACAAGGACCCGAGCTCCTGGAAACCCAGTCCTCTGAAAAGAGCACCAACATGTAGGGGAGGCAATGCAATTCTTTGTGTCTGCCCCACTGATGATAAACCAACCTGGGAGGGCTCTTAGAAGGAAGAGTATAGGCAGGGCTGACACCAAATACTTGCTGTCTCCAACTCTGCAGGGAGGACAGGTGTGAGCAAATATTATCCCTGTTTAAGTTGTGTAAGGCAGGACCCAGAACTAGGCAATGTGGCCAAGATGAGCCACAGTGGCGCAGGCACCATTTATCCTGCTGTGCCTGGTGCACAGCCTCACTGGGGCACCCACACGATCAAAGTGTCCCTAACCACTGAATCATAAAAGTGAATAAACTTGTGGTTGATCAGATAAAAGCTCTAGTCAGAGCTATAATTTCTGTTCCATGAGCCCAGTTCTTGATCAGATTTACTCAATGTGGTGACGACCGGTAGCAAAGTTATAAAGCAGGTCTGTCTTCAAATACTCCTGAACCAGAGTTTACTACCCTTATAAAAAATGCAAATTTGACTTCTGAGTAGGAGTGATTGATTGAACATGTGTATTTGCATTGGCTTCAACCTAAAAAACAAACAAACAAAACCCCAAACAAGAACAAACCCCAAAGGGTCCACGGGTGGTCCCTGCCAAGGCAGCACACCAGGGTCACTTCTGCAAAGCCACAGACCCCAAGTGTTTGTTTGCCTTCTCGGCCTCTATGTGCCCATGAGAGGCCCCTGGCTGCTGGGCTCATCCAACTCCACCACACACTGAAGGGCCCTTGAACATGAGAAGTGTGGGCTGAGGTGGTATCAGGTCTGATGTTTCTGGGGCCTACCCCCTGCTGCTACCCCAGGGACAGGGCCTGGCAGGTCACCGTGGGGAACAAAGTCACAGTGTGTTACAGAGCCCAATGAGCAGGGACTGCTCAACAATGTCAGCTCCCCTCTCTGTGCCCCGATGTCCCTCCTTATAAACAAACAGGTGAGAGGATGTGGAGAGTCTTGAGGACCCTAGGAAAGACGGACCATGCTGACCTGGCATATTACAGGCTCTGCCTCTCCAGGATGGCAGCTGGGAGTGATGCCAGACCCTCACCCCTTTTCCTGACGTTGTTGAAGGAAGGTAACTTGCTAGCCCACAGCTCTGATCACAGCTTCTGGGAGTGTCCATGACACTGCCTTACTCCCTCTGGTCAGTACTGCTAGCTTTGCCCTCCCAGGGGAGAGAGGGAATGGTCATCAAAATGGCCCACATGAGGGCAGCCCGGGTGGCTCAGTGGTTTAACGTTGCCTTCAGTCCAGGGCCTGATCCTGGAGACCCGGGATCGAGTCCCACATCGGGCTCCCTGCGTGGAGCCTGCTTCTCCCTCTGCCTGTGTCTCTGCCTCTCTCTCTCTCTCTCTGTCTCTCATGAATAAATAAATAAAAATCTTTAAAAAAAAAAAAAGAAAAAAGAAAAAAAGGCCCGCATGAAACTGCTCTTCTTCCCAGCAACCCCAAGGGGCTTACTAACATGTGTCCCCACCTGGTCATGGGGAGATGGAAGATGTGTGCATGACGGCTCTTGCCTGGGGGACAGCCTGGCCTCTCCTGCAGCTTCTGTCCCCATCTGAGATCACATGGTCATCATTCAAGGGGGAAATAGTTTGGTCAAGATGGGCAGGCAACTCAGAACATCCAGGGCTAGAGAATGTCCTAGGTAACCATGGTGACCAGGACCCACCCAGTGTGGTCTGGGTCCTTCCCACAGCAGCACAGGCAAGGGAGTTCCTGGCCTCTGTGGACTCCCTACCTTCCCCTGGGGGCAGTGTGCCCAGAGCAGACCTGCAACCCAGGAGTTCAGCGAGCCACCTTGCTGCTATGGAGTCCTTAAGGGTCCTCCTGATTGTTCCACAGCCCAAAGAGCTCAAGCTCGGTAGAGGTTGATGAACAGGGATTCCCCGCCAGCCCGGCTGGTTGGGGTTGCGTACCTCTGGCCTCGAGACCAGCATGCTGTCTGTGGGTGCCAGAAAGTGACAGCTGATTTTCATGAAACCAAAAAGAAAGAATGAAAGAAGAGAGTCTCACTGTACTGGCAGGGAAACCAAAGAGTCAAAGCTGAGTCTGTCTCCAAAGCAGTGGAGGGCCCCACCCCAGGCCTCCAAGCACCTAACCAGAGGGCTTCCGGAAGAAGGCTACACAGCCCTTTGCCAAACAAATTCTCATCTTACTACCTCACACCCATTAGGACAACCACAACCATTATCACCCTCCCCTCCCCGCCCCCCGCAGAAAACAAATGCTAGCAAGAAGGTGGAGAAACGGCACCTCCTGTGTGCTGTTGCAGGGAGTGTATGTGTGATATAAACTGGTGTGGCCAGTTTACCTCTATGGAAAACAATACGGAGGTTCCTCAAAAAATTAAAAACAGAACTACCACAGGATCTAGCAATTCTACTTCTGGGTATTTGCCCTAAAGAACTGAAAACCAGGGTCTCAAAGAGATGCTTGTACACCTGTGTTCACAGCAGCATTACTCTTAATAGCTAAACTGTGGAAGCAGCCCAGGTGTCTCCCAACTGATGAACGCATTACCAAAACACGGTAGATGCGTACAATGTAGGCTTAAGAAGGGAATCATTCTGCAGGGTGCTATAGCATGAAGGAATCTTGGGCACGTTATGCTCAGTGAAATGAGCCTGTCACGAAAAGACATATGCCGTGTGAGTCCACTTCCATGAGGTAGAGCAGCCCGATGAACAAAGAGAAAGTACAGTGGTGGGTGCCAGGGGCTGGGGGCACTGTTTAATAGGTGCAGACTTTCAGATTTACATGATAAAAAGTGAGGGGGACCAATGGTGCTGATGGCCACACAACACGGTGAATGCCGTTCAGACCACTTGACGTACAGTTCAAAATGGTTAAGAAGGCAAATTTTACGTTACATGTATTTGAATGCAATAGAAAAAAAAATTCCCATCTTATCCAGACGTTCCCTGACACCTGCTCTGGGCCAGGTGGTGTGCTCGGAATTGGCGAGCCCACCTCTGGCAAGGACAGATGTGTGAGACAGGTCTATGGGCTCCCTTGGGGGCCCCAAGGAGAGCAGGCGTTGGGATCTGGACAGACTCTAGGACAGATAAGCCTCTGAGCGTGGCTGAAAGGTAAGGGCAGAACTCCAAGTCAGTGTAGACAGGATTTGAGAGCAGGAGCCTAGTGGTGGTGGGCAGCCAAGCTGCATGGGGTCTGGGGCACAGGGAGGGCAGATCAGCCTCCTGGAGCAGCCTTGTCCCAAGTTCAGGACTCAGGCTGAACTTGGACAGGAAAGAGCCCCATCTGTACCAATCATGCTTGCAAAGCAGGAAGCAAGAGAGTGCACTGAGAAAGGCAAGGTAGGTAAAAGAGTGTCATCTGAGGACTCAGGAAGCCTTCAAACTGGTACCTGTGTGGGCCTGAGCAAGTAATTTCACCTCTTTGGACCTCAGTTTCCTAATCTGTAAAATACTGAAATCAGGTATTTGGGTAAAAAGCTGCACAAGGGGAGAGTTTAGGTGGCTCAGTTGGTTAAGTATATGCCTTGGGCTCAGGTCATGATCTCAGGGTCCTAGGTTTGGGATCCCCGCTCAGTGAATCTGCTTCTGGCTCCCCACCCAGGGAGTCTGCTTCTCTCTCTCCCTCGGCCCCTCCCCACCACTTGTGCATGCTCTCTTTCTCTCATTCACAAATAAATACATACATACATACATACATACATACATACATACATACATAAATAAATAAAATCTTTAAAAACAAACAAACAAAACGCTGCACAAGGCAAGTATGTGTATGTGTCACACCTGGGCTTCCTCTCCCATCCTTACATTTCAGAATAGGAAGCCTGCCCAGCGCCAGGGTCTTTAGAAATCAGAAAAGCATAATTAAGAAGCAGTCCCACAGAGAAGGCACCAGCCCAACAGAGGAGCGACTGCAGTGAAAAGATACGCTTCTGGCACCTCCTACCAACAATGGATAAAAGCAACTTTCTCTCTTGTTTTTCAACCTGGAGGGGACATCAGCAGAAACAAGCTAAGCAAAAGAGGGAAGGTATTTGTCCTGTTCCAAAGAGGAGATGACAACAGGACTGTTAATGACAATGCAACCTCAAGGGCAAGACTCTGGTCAAATGGATGGAGTCCTCAGGAGCACCCTTTCTAGTGAAAAGGAGCCAGTGCACTGTGAGCAGCACAAAGAGAGCAGCCCAGATGCTGTCCCCCTCCTCTGCCCCGCAGCACCACCGCTGGGGTGGCCACTGGTCCTGTTGGTAGGACAGCGGTGGTGCTCTCAGCCTCCACATATGCCTACGTCCTGCACGCTCAGCTGACAGTTCCATGATCTCACTGCTCAAAGCCTCCAGGAGGCCGTCTCCAGGCCAGCAGGTACCAGATAGGGGACTGAAAAAGGCGTTTTTAGTGACTTCAGCTATCGGTTGCTCCTGATTGCACCTACTCGTCACTTACGCCTGAGAGAGCAGATGTGCTTCAGGGTGCCTTCAGGAAGTGGACAGTAGGCCAGAGCCAAGCCCAAGCCCTCCTTCATAGCCAGGCCCTTCCCCCTTGGGACTCACCACTTTGGTGGACTCCAGGGCTCCTGAGGCCAGTGTGTCCCGGCTGCCCCTGCCTTTGCTGCCAAGGTGGGGTGAGGAGGAGGGCGAGTCATCGATGTAGGGCAGCCCGTCCTGATGCCGGCGCTGCTCCTCAGCCCGGTCCGCAGCACAGCCATACCCAGGTGGCGTTCCAAACGACGCATCTGTGTGTGTAGAGAAGCAGCTGTGTTAGAGACAGTGAGGGGGGCCACACCCCACATGTCCCAGCAGGCACTGGCTGATGATGTCGGGCATCCAGGGGTGTTGAACAAGGACTTCAGGTAAGCTGACCTCACCTTCACAACCAGCTAAGTGAAGACCACAGGGCAGATGGGGCTGAAACAGTGGCACACGCCCCAGACTATATGAGACTGGGCTTTCAGGACACTGTCTGGGGCACATAGTACTTGTATCAGGAGTGGACCTGAGCAGCTACAGAAAGATGGAGCCCAAAGGCTAGCATCTTGCTATCAGGGACGGTCCTTATGCACCTGTCCATGGGGATCTGATGGGGTGAGGAGCACAGATCATGCTGGTCCAAGCACAAGCCCCAGCCCCTGTGAGCAGTGCCCCAGGCCAGACAGTCCCAACCCAGGGAAAGGGCGCTGGAGCGCCTTCTCCTTACTCCACCTTTTGCCTTGGCTGACTCTTCCCATCTGGTCCACCAAAATCCCAGACCACCAATCTGAGTATCCCTGTGAGGAAAGAGTATCTTACCCTCTAGCCGGCTCCCTGCTGCTCAGGGCTATCGAGTTATAGAGAATAATACCTCCATCCTAAAGTTACCTGAAGACAGTCACCCCTTTCTCCCTAGCTAAATCACAAAGCCCACTCTCCTTTGCCTGTCTTTCTGTAGCTCTGTTTTCAGAACTATTCTAATCCAGTGGATCCTCACCAAGACTTTAACCCACAAGGGCCTGGCCCATTCCAAGCCTCATGTGAGTGTGACTTAACTCCTTCAAGGGCTCCTTCACAACCCATGAGCTTTTTGAGAAGTCATCTTGATCGGGTTACGTTGTCTTCCCCATGACTCACTGGCAACCAGCCCTGTCCAACGTCATCACCACAGGGGACCCCTGCAGTGTTTATTTACCAGTTTACAACAACTTCCGCCACTAAGCACCCATAGCAACGAGGCCAGTAGGCACAGGCTTCCAGAGGAGACCTGGCAATTCTAGAAGGGGACTGTTCTCAGTTCTTCCCACGTGGCAGCTGAGAGGACCTGTGGCTGGAGAGGCCAGGTGCTCGTCATATCGGCTATGATGGCTGCCACTGCACCGTGAGACTCATCCACTACATCCCAGCTTCTTCACACACCTCTGCCTCTCCCACATTCTCCACCTCAGTGGGCCAGCAGGTGGCATGCCCTCTAACAGGTGTCCCTAGCCCTGGGTATGTATTAGTGCCAGCTTCAAAATCAACAGAGACCTATAGAATCAGACACCCAGGGAGGTCTGGGCCCTGGTGGTTGTACAGGCTTCCCAGGGGTTCCAGCAGGAAGCAGGGCTGAGACTGCTACATTAGCATAAGCTGGCATCTGGCACTGTGCTGGCTGTCTCCCTGACCCACACTGTGTCCCTGCTGCCCGTGTGCAGGCAGTGACCACAAAGGCCAGGTGGAGCCCTGTTGCTGTGTGTGTCCATAGGAGGGTCCCAGCAGAGGCTGGTTCTGGGATGAAAGTTGTAGACAGGGTGGAGGACCCTGAGAGCTGGGTGGGCTCCTACCCTTTACCCTAACAACAAGCTGTACTGAGGTCCCCTGGTCTCCTTAATCCATGGGCTACTGTGGGGGCTCCTGGTGCCATCGCCATGTTGGTTATCAATGCTCAGCCCTGCTGGGGTTTGTACTGTCCTACCAGGATAGTCAGAGGCCAAGGTCAAGTTCTGTGTCCTCTTAAGAGTCTGCAAAGGTGCTCAACTAACTCTTGCCTGGCATCCCTGAAGACAGATGTGGAGGGTTTAATTGTATTAAAAAGCACAGAACCCTGTTAAATACAGAGCCCTAATCTCACACTCTACCCCCAAAACAAGTCTGACTTCAGCTTCTGCTTCCTTTTGGGGTATCACAGATTTTTTTTCTTTAACCAAAATGAACACAGAGGACTTCTTGTCCATTCAACATCCATGATATGAACCCTGTATCACAGCAGCCTCTACTGAAAAATTGCCCTCTGTGGTAGCTGTGTCCAAAGGCAGTCCGGGCCCTGGACAGAAGGCTTTGGCTGCCAGATGCCTTCCTCATGGGTAGTCTGAATGATCCCCCTGGGCTGGGGGTGGGGTTATCTTTACTTCTGCAACCCAGGACATGTCCTCCAGGGGACAGGTGGGCTGATTCTAGAACCTGGGATGCGAATTTCCCAGAAGTGAGGCTCTGGTCCTGTCTAGGTTGCTATATACCTGTGAGAATCAGTGCAGGTCACTTAAGCGGTCTGTGTCTCAGTTTTCCTGACTTTATCATCAGGCGTGTGAACTAGACAATGGATGGAGGCTTGGCTCTGCTTTAAGCCGTTATAGTCACTGTGCAGGTCAGCCAGCCATGTCCTGCCTACCTCCTGACCTCACCTCCTTCACAGCGTCTTACTCTGCTCCCCACTCTTCCTCTGGGCCCAGCTTTTACATTAGCTCAGAACTTTCACTGTCCACACATCCTCTCTAGGAAACTATAAACTTTTTTTTTTAAATAATAATGTTTTTAAGAAGTCAACAACATATTCATCATCTAGAAGAGCATCCTTAATCTGAGCACCATCACCGGATATCCCAGCCTGTGACTACACTGAGCTCACATTAAAGGTCAAATTAATACTGAGTGATGCCCCAAGCAAGAACTTTAGGGTCAAACTCAGGGTCCTAGGGCTTGCTCCAAATACTGCAAGATTCCACATCTACAAAACGAAGTGCTATGCTAGCTTAGCAACATCCTGACTAAAAAAAAAAAAAAAAAAAAAAAAAAAAAAACCTGTGCAAAACCAAGTGCCTGGCAAAAGGTTTGCTGGCCAGGGCCGTGTGGGGCTGCTGAGACTGCTGTAGACACTTCCCACCCACCAGGTGAGATGGAGAAGCCAGGCTCCACAGCCAGACTCAATGGGTAATTAGGAGGATCAGGGCAACTCAAAGTCAGCTGTCTCCCACTCTGCACACATCTCTCTACACTGACGTCCGAGAAACCAATGCTTTTAAGTCTGGATTCCAGATAGCTGGTCATTCATTGCTGGGCTACCTTCCACCACAGGCTTCAGCTCACTGTCCTGGCTAACCCAGAACCCCCAGCCTACTCCTGCAAATGTGATAGGGCAAGGAGGAGAGCCCTCCTTTCCTCTTCCTCCATCTTAACTGACACATAGGGACCCATCTTCCTTTCACACTTTCACATTCCTGGGGTCCCCATACCTCCTCGAGCATATTGTCTATTCCTAGGAGGCTTCGGGAGCTGCCATTTCCCAAGAACCAGAGCAAAGTAAGGGAGGGGCCTTGCTGTCCTCTCTTCTACCAGGAATATCCAGTGGGAAAACCTCTTTGGGGCTCATTCCCTCCAAGGACTGGGGACCTGGTGGCTGAGCTAACCCTGGTGTTTCCTGCAAAGTTCTACCCAAAGCTGAAAGCAAATACTGGTTTCAGAGGGGGTGGGCCTGTCATCCTACAGCTATGAGAGGCTCAGGGAAATGAGGGCTGATCCACACACAGAGCGGCGAACCAGCAGGGAAGAGGGCGGGCGCAGAGGGAGCAAGACCCACTCAGAGTTGGCAGGCAGCGGCCAGCTTAGGGTGGAAAACGGATGTGCACAATGAAATCCCAAACCTCCTCCTCTCCAGGCAAGTCGGCTTAGCAGCCACAATCCTGGCACTCTGCAGATCTAAAATCTAGTCTTTGATGGAAAGAAATAAGGCAGCCACCCCCACACCTGCCAAGTGGGAAGACTAAGTACCTGTCAGCCCAGATCACATCCTCTTCTCACACCTCAAGGACAACACTGGTTAAAAAAACAAAGCAAAACAAAAAACTTTCAAAAAATTAAATGTAGAATTACTATGCGATCGAGCAATTCCACTTCTGGGTACACACGTAAAAGAACTGAAAGCAGTGGTGCAAACAGATCCGTGCTCCTAGCAACATCATTCACAACAGCCAAACTGTGGAAGCAAATCAAACATCCACTGACGGGTGAATGGATAAGCCAAATGTGATATGGAAATACAACGGAATACTACTTGGCCTGAAAAAGTAAGACAATGCTGACACATGCTACAGCATGGATGACCCTGGAGGACACTATGCTAAGGGCAATAACCCTGTCACAAAATGACAAATTCACTGTGTGAGTCCACCTATACGACAGACCTGGAATAGTCAGATTCATGGAGATAAAGAGTTCGATAGTGGGGACCAGGGGCTGGGGGAGGAGGGATGGGGAGTTGTTTTGTGGGCACAGAGCTTCAGTTTGGGAAGATGAAACAGTCCTGGAGAGAGGGATGGTGCTGCTGGCTGCACAACAGTGTGAATGTGCTTAACACCCCCGAACAGTATACCTAAGAGTGATTAAAATGTCCCATTTGATGTTATATGTAACAAGTACCTACCACACACACACACACACACACACACCCCCTCTGAGGTCCCTCCCAGACAGGGCAATGCTTGGGTAGCTGAGCCAGGGGAGGGGGCAGGGTGCAGGGGAGCGTCTCTCCATCCCCTTCATCACCAACAGCCCCCTGCAACCAAGTCTAAAATAAGCAGAGAACCAAAACTTCCAAGCAGTGTGCTCCCTGAGCTGATGGGGGGGTGGGGGGGCTGGGTGGTAGGTACCCAGGCTGCATCACAGGTTTCTGCGGGTTTAATAACAAAGGACAATAAAGGAAGGCCTTTTTCATGCTCTGTAAGCACAGTTTCAAAGGAGCCCTGGTGTCTGTCACACTGCCAGACCAAACTGGCACAGCCACTGTTCCAGCAGCTATCCCTCTAACAGAGTTTACACATCATCTTTTCCAGGCCACTTCCCTGTCCACCCGCATCTTCCTGACCCAGACTGGACAAGATTCCTGCCAGCCCATAAGAATCTGGTAATCACAGGTCACACCCAGTGCCAGAGCCGGATCCCCTGGCATAATAGCACCATGCGGATCCACAGCCCTGAAGCGGCTGTCCTTCCTGCTCTCAGAGGGCACATG